TGATAAATCTTTACGGTTCATATAATCGAGAAAAGATAGGCTTCTACGCAGTGTTGGATTAGTTGGAATGTAGGTACTCATGTACACGAAATTGACTACATACATGGTTGGCGCGGTGACTGGGCATTCGGCTGCCATGAAACGTGTAACGGTTTCGATTCCCGCACGGAGTTACTCTTTGTGTGATCTATAATAATTGTTGTTTGGATCTGAGCGTCAAACGTCAAAACGCGTCGTTGTAAACGCACCCACGACACGGGAGTAAATACTAGTGTGGTGTAAAGTTCCTTTTTAAGACAAAAGAAAACAAAGTGGTTTAAATTTACCATCCATTTAAGGTAACATTTTTACCCGAGTCCATCTCAAAGTTACTAATCTTTTGTTATTCTTAAACTTAAGTTGCTAACTTAGAAATCTTTTTGCGAGTCGGTGTTACAAAAGTGAAGTTTGTAAAAACAACGCCGTCGTGGCATTCGCGAGTATTTTTCGCAAAATTTTCTTTTGTACTTTTGACACTAATTAATCATGAGGTTCGCTGAATGTGAATAATGTTTTTTGATTGTGTGAATGAACAAAAATATCTTTACTAAGTGAGGTGACTTTTGAGTGCATTTCAGTTAGCAGTTGGCAGTCTGGGATCATAGCAGAAATTCAAACAAATCTGTGTGGAATGACTAACATACATAACATAAAATCACGCATTTTATTCCCGAAGGGGTAGGCAGAGGTGCACATTATGCCACTGTACAATGTAACACCCACTTTTCACTATTTATGTTATGTGTCCCTTGTAATAGGGGGTGAGCATATTGCCATATACCGGGCACAATTCTAGACTCCGTGCCACTACTGAGAATTTTTTTAAAACCCAGTAATACTTTGCCCGACCCGGGAATCGATCCCGAGACCCCTTGCCCGGCAGTCGCACTTGTGACTACTCGGCCAACGAGGCAGTCAGTATAGGGTCGGGATAGATATATCCTAAGTTCTATAATAGTATAGCAGACTATCTCATTTCAGTTATATTGTCCAATGTTACACAGGGTAATCCTTATTACATCCAGCACTAATCCAGACTTTAGGCAACAAGACTATTACTAAGTTTTATATACCTGACCCATCTAATCTAAGACTACGTTCCTAATACATGGTTTATAGCTTCTAGGCAATGAGGAGTAACGAATAGAGTTTCTTGCTTGTTGTTCTCCATTCAAATCCACATTTTGGAATGAACACCTAGCTTAAGGCACTCGGCCAACGAGGCAGTCTAGAAAGTCAGTGTAGAATGACTTTGAGTGCAATTTGGTTAGGAGTCTGAGACTGAGATCATTGCAAATGTTGGAATACAATATAAAGCCATACTTCGGGACGAATGGACCGCCTCGACCGGAGTGATATCACGGCCTCACAGAAAACCGACGTGAAACAACGCTTGCGTTGTGTTTCACCGTGCGAGTGAGGTTACCGGAGGTCCAGTTGCCCTCCCCCTTCCCCAATCTCCCCAATATCTGAATCCCAACAATCCTCAAATTCCAAACCCCCAAAAGGCCGGTAACGCACTTGTAACACTTGTGGTGTTCCAGGTGTCTATGCGCGACGCCGATTGCTTACCATCAGGTGATCAATCTGCTCGTTTACCGGCTTATCCCATAAAATTAAATTATATATTGGAATAACACATGGAGTATTTTTTATCCCGAGAACACAGGCGTGCCCAATAGCGTGTTTCACGTCGGTTTTCTGTGAGGCCGTGATATCACTCCGCCACTCCGGTCGAAGCGGTCCATTCGTCCCGAAGCATGGCTTTTCCACACTTAAGAGAACTCTTATCTATCTCTGTACCAGATTTCACTCAAATCTATTCCGTAGTTTTTGCGTTAAAGAGCAACAAATATAATATACATTCGTGCTCACAGACGTGCACATTTATGATATTAGGAGGAAGTAGAATATTCCCCGAAGAAATAGGCAGTCTAGCACGTTTTCAATTTGCTAAAAGTATTATAGATTTCTTGTATTAGGCGAGTTACGAGTCCCACTTCTAAACTTCGTACTAAAAATTTCGACTAGTTATTACTTTATCCAACTTGGCAATTGACACCCATGACGGCTCTTGTGCAACGAAAAAATACATGTTTACGTACATTTTAATAGCTTCTCCCATCAGCTTCTTCCACATTCCAATGGAATAAGAAGTAGTCTACGTTTTTAACATTGCATAAGAACAGGGTGATTTTAGTCAGTTAGAGTCTGACACTCTCGACTAACAGGAGGCGGGAGAAGCCACTGAACGATTTTCACATCTCGAAATAAAAAGATCATAATAGGGTAGATACCTAATTTTTATTCTAATGTCCCTCTGGTAGATTATTTTAAATCATTAGACACGTATTTTTTATTTTATTACAGAAACGAATACTTTCGACGATATATTGATTTGAAATGTCGCATGACGTCACTTCTATGTACATTTTATTCGTAGAAATGACGTTTTAGCCCCCACTCCTAAACTTTCATTAGTTTTATCTAAGTATTGTTTTATTATACGACAAAATAAAAAAATACGTGTCATTACCTAACTTACGGACATAGATTTTTAATTTTAATACCCTGTCATTATCCCAATTGTCTTCACATTGTTAAATGCCTGGACTAGGACAATCCTGTATCGCAGGTCAGAGGAGTTCTAAATATAATTCTTATAGTAGCACATTTTATTTCTATAGACACATATACTTAACATTATACAACAGAAAACAATATACACACGAACTCACAGTGAAACTTTCGCATGTACAATATTCGTAAAATAGTAAAATTTATTCGTACAAAAAAGCCATTATATTCAATCTATCACAGTCAAACACAGGTAATCTTATAGTTATCGGAATGTCAGCTGATCGTGTCGGTTGGCACAGAGAACAGCCGCATTGCAGCGCTACTGATGTACATTACTTCGATTTACAATCTTATTATATTAAAGTTATAGTATTTATTTATATATATGTATGTATATATAAATAAATAAATACAGTCGTGTACATATATATAAATATAGTCGTGGTGACCCCGGAGGCTTCACATAAATGAGGCTGCCGATTTGAAACCTACCAACGGCTTGTACCAATGTGACTTTTCCGAGTTATATGTATTTTCTAAGATTATTTAGACACCACTGACACGGAACGGTGAAGGAAAACATCGTGAGGAAACCTGGAATTATAATTTCTAATTATAAGTTTGAAATCGCCAACCCGCATTGAGCAAGCGTGGTGATCAAACCTCAAACCTTCTCCGTGTGAGAAGAGGTTTTGCTCAGCAGTGGGCGTTTAACAGCTGTTGATGGGCGTCTTAAACCTCCGCGCCTCCGCGACACGATTGGCTGCGCATATAACTTTTATACTGATGTAACATCCAATTTTTTTACGCTAGAGAGTAAAAACTAAAGAGTTCCTTTACAAAATCAACTGAGCCCATTCAACAAGATCAATTCAAAACTCCGCACAATAAACTTTATTCATAAACCACTCTATTTTCTATTACAATCTTTGCAGCTGTTTGCAACAGCTAAAGTGAGCTAAACACATTCCCGACAATTCTCGAGTTGAGACAAAAGTTAAGCTGTTTCAAGCTAAACAAGCTACAGCGAGTTTAGAAGAGCCAATCTTAGACAGCTAGCATACAGAACAGCATGGCTTTAGTTTAAGTTAACTTCGTACACTGTTTCAAGTGATAATTTGTTTTTTGAGTCGTTAAATTACTTATAACATAACATAACATCACGCCTTTTATCCCCGAAGGGTAGGCAGAGGTGCACATTATACTACTGTACAATGTAACACCCACTTTTCACTATTTATGTTATGAGTCCCATGTAATAAGGGGTGAGTCTGTTGCCATATACCGGGCACAATTCCAGACTCCTAATAAAAACTCAGTAATACTTTGCTCGATCTGGGAATTGAACCCGAGACCCCTTACCCGGCAGTCGCACTTGCGACCACTCGGCCAGCGAGGCAGTCTATAACTAACAAAACTACTTATATTTGGTTTTAAGTGAGGGGGAGCCATGTTTTGGTACTAATTGGTCGACTCGAGGGGAGAGATACCACGGCCTCACAGAAAATGGATATGAAACAACGCTTGCTTTGTTTCTTCATGTCATTGATATTACCGGAGGCCCAATTACCCCTTCTCAAATCCCCCAAATCCCCCAAATCCCCCAAATCCCCCAAATCCCCAAAAGTCCTAAAATATCTAACCCCCTGACGTTTAAGGTGTCCTTGGGCGGTGCCGATTGCTTACCATCAGATGATCCGTCAATTCGTTTACCGGATTATACCATAAAAAAATCTATATTGGTTGAAATCTGATTAAGATTGATTACATATAGATCAAGGAACTGTCGAGTGAAACGCTAACAACATTTTCTAACAGTGTAATCTACTATTGAATCAAATCAATATTTCAGCTAACCATGGAAGAAAGAAGGCAATATCCTTTTGATTTTTTACTACTTGACTCTTTGAGTCGTTCACCGACTTACATCAACTAAATTGGTCGAGATAAACTTACTTAAATCAACATTCTATTAAATACCTATTTAAGAACAGGTTAAGATTACTTAATACTACTGATTTTTACGGTGTAAATATTTTAGTTAATTATATTTTAAGTTAATCTATATTAATATTATAAAGCTGAGTTTGTTTTTTTGCTTGTTTGTTTGAACGCGCTAATCCCCGAAACTACCAGTCCCATTTCAATAATAATTTTTGTGTTGGATAGTACATTTATCGGGGAAGGTCATAGGCTAAAGGCAAAATATCACGCTATGATCATAAGGAGCCGAGTAGAACGCAATCGCGTGGAAGTAGCTAGTTAAAAATAAAATTCTCATTTTGGATTCTAGCTTACTTAAGTAATAATAAGAATTTTCCAAAGGTTATTTTCCAATGAAAACAGGTAAAGTTACTTTTTTAACTTATACTAGAACTCACCTCCTCTAAGCTCACAGAGTAGAGTGAAGTTGCCTCCCTCCTCCAAAGGTCCGACCACTCCAGCAACATCACGCCCAGCCTCATCATAGAGGAGCAGCTGATGCGGTGGCACTGGTGGAAAATAGAAGGCAGGTGAGAAAAAATAATGTTTCGTAAAAATACTGTGAAAAGAGTATTAAAATTATCATCACGCATTTTATCTTCGAAGGGTAAGTAGAAGTGCACAGTACGGCGCTTAATGCCACTGTACAATGTCACACCCATTTTTCACTGGTGAGCCTATAGCCTATTTTTTAAAAACCTAGGAATACTTTGCGCGACTTAGGAATCGAACCTGAGACAACTTACGACCACTCGGCCAACGAGGCACTCTCTAGAGTGATCTACAAAAATAATTAACAGATAAAATACTTACCGACAACATTTAATTTGATCTGAAAATTCCTGGTAGGAGAATTTTTGAAGTCTACTCTGCATCTGTAGATGCCCTCATCATCGAGCTGAACAGCATCGACTGTGAGGGCCGAAGGTCTGGACATGGTGACGAAGTAGGCTCTTCTCCCGAAAGCCAGAGGATCTGACCAATGGAGGGCTTTGTTGAAGCTGCGGCCGCGCACATCGAAACTGTGGACAAAGTTTTATAATGTGATGAAATTGGTACAGATGTATTTCACCTTGAGGGAAAATATTTATTTTGCACTTTCTTAAAACTATCCTAAGTATATAATATGCTGTTTATTAAGTGATACTACTACATCTAACGTTAAGGATAATCAAAAAATCATTATGAGATTTTTATTACACAACTCAACGCCTAAGAAGGAAAACATTAACCTTCAAAGCTCTTCCGACAAACATAACAAACGGTCATACATCAAGACAATAAAACAGATCTACGTAATCTATTCAAACAATCATCAACACAGCAGTTCCGTCGTCAGACATAATAAACACGAGACATTAAATTACCATTTGTCTCCCGTCCCTCTTGAAGGACCTCAGACAAAACGATCGATATCCCAATTAAAATGCCTTCTAAAACACCACCCTTTAACCGCAACATTTTTCATCAAAAAACACAAAAGAAACACCCTCTAACCCCCCTTTTTAAAACGCCTTATCTAAACGCTACGTATTTATCAACATTCTGTATACGTTGCACCGTAACATGAAATATTATATAGAATACAACCTTACAAATAACGTGGTAAGGTGGAAATTTGAATGGGGTATGAAACAATGGGTGTTCGGCCATTAAGTCCGCGTTGAGCGGGCGACAGCGATTCAGTTTGCGCTTTCCGTTTGTGTAGTCACGCTAAGTTTCCGGTAGTTTGCGAGTAGGTATTACTAGATGCTAGATACATGGATTGTAATTGTTGTGTACCGGAACAATGGGCGTAGATTTATAGTTGTCTGTACAAGTATCGCTTTTGTGCTAGACCGAAGGAAAAGAAAAACTCAGTTGGTTTTTGTTTGGTGTTTATTACATTGTCTTGTGCGATTTATGTCTTACTCCAGGGGGTAACAGATTTCGTGGAAACCTGTCTGACACTATTCGCCTAAAAGCACCTGCAAGATTTTTTGAACCACGCTACTATCTACACTGCTATTTCGATATGACTGCATTTTTATAGCAACTTGGGGTGTTTTATAGCAAGTTCGATTTGAAAGCGACATATTTATGTGTATATCATTTTTCTATCGTACTTTGCTTTTTTGATCGAGACGTAAGCTAGAAAGTTTACTCGATTGAGAAAATAACGAAAAGAAATCTAAATCAAATCTCAAATCGTCACTTGAGAACAGTCGATACACAAAATAACAAGAAAATAATATCTCTACAAACGATTATTGATTTGTTTATATGGATTTTTTTAAATATTGTAACCTTAAGTTCTCCGGTAACCCATTAGGTTCTCCGCAACTCCGAATCGGCATCAGCTCTGTTGAGCCCCAACCGTGGTGGTCTAATGGCTCTATGAGGTGCGCGCGGAACGCGACGCGCCGTACGCTTGGGTCTGTTTCTGGTCGGACGGGGAGCCACCCATGCTCGAGTCAAACGAGCAGACGAATCACCTGATGATAAGCGATTAGCACCGTCCATGGATGCCCGAAACACCAGAGGAGTCACAGGTTTTCTTTAAAGGGGGGAAAATCATCCAATGACTTCTCCCGCTTTGGGTTAGGCGAGAGGGACTGTCAGTCTCTTACTGACTAAATACCACCCCATTCCTACTCCTGCTCTTCGAGCCGCAGCCACGGCAACCCGTTAGGGCTTCCGCGGCTCCGTATCGGAGTATCCGTAGAGGAGTCACAAGTGTGTTATTAACAATCATAATACCATAACATAACGCCTTTTTATCCCCGAAGGGGTAGGCAGAGGTGTGCATTATGGCACTTAATGCCACTGTACAATATAACACCCACTTTTCACTATTAATGTTATGAGTCCAATGTAATAGGGGGCGAGCCTATTGCCATATACCGGGCACAATCCAGACTCCGTTCTACTACTCAAATTTTTTAAAAAACCCAGTATTGCTTTGCCCGACCCGGGAATCGAACTCGAGACCCCTTGCCCGGCAATTGCACTTGTGACCACTCGGCCAACGAGGCAGTTGTTAACAATCACAATCAATGAAATAATAATAAAACAATAAATCTCTTCAAAAAACCTACCCCTTACATACACTCAACAAAAATTAAGTATTCTCAAAGAGACTTCCATTAACTTAGGTCTAGCTCAAACGAGCTTTTATTTATTACCCTTTGTCAGTACTTAAATACTGTTAATCTTTTTACAAGGCAACACGAACGGCTTTGCAATGTGATATGTATGAAGAAAGAGTATCAAATAAATTACTTTACTAGTAGTTAATGTTTCCTGCCCATGTTTTGTATTCTCTTGTAAAAATACCTCTTTTCTATTGAAAACTATTTTACGTTTAAGTGCATTGAATTTTGTTTATTTTCGTTCGTGAAGACACGCAGTGTATTTTGCTGCAATAGCTTTTTTATACTGCTCTTTGGCCGAGTGGTCGCAAGTGCGACTGCCGGGCAAGGGGTATCGGGTTCGATTCCCGGGTCGGGCACAGTATTACTGGGTTTGTAAAAAACCTCAGTAGTAGCACGGAATCTGGAAATGTGCCCGGTATATGGCAATAGGCTCACCCCCTATTACATGGGACTCATAACATAAATTGTGAAAAGTGGGTGTTACATTGTAGTGGCATAATGCACCTCTGCCTACCCCTTCGGGGATTAAAGGCGTGATGTTATGTAGCTTTTTTTTAGTTACGTTTAAATGTTTTTTTGTTTCTGTAAGCGACGATATGTATTGACTAATGTAAGATGTACATTGTTCTTACATAATTGAAGCATCGAAACAATGTACCTAACCAATAATTAAAAAAGAGTGACCTATGGAGTTTTTGACTCGTTCTTCTCCATAGGTATCTAAACATTGAAAGAGCAAATAGCTTCACTAGAGGACTGACCGACAGACTGACAATTTTTTTTATATTACAATATTTTTGTTTTTACTTTCAAAAGTGCATTCCGGGTCTAATTGAAATAAATGATTTTGACTTTGACAACAGCCTACGGTAATTATCTTTTCTAAGACTATGCGTTTTGTTTTCTAGAATCTTTAAGTACTGATGGTGATCATCGAGTAATGTCACTTCCTATACACCACAGTTTACTTTCGCAAAAGTTAACACTTCAACCCGTCACCAAAAACTACATAATGTTGTGTTGTGCCTGGTCATTTAAGTTTTACATGGGTATATAACATTTCATTCAACATTCTTACTTAACCCTTCATTAAACAAACATGTTCCTTTTTGGGATAAGTTTACCGTCTTATCCCATAAAAAAACTTACTTCAGCTCACATCGCTGCTGACATGGCCCCAACCTAAATTAGTGTGTAGCACAACAGACATGAGATCACACGATCAGTCTCGTTAGCTAGAGACTGAGACATCACTCCTTCATGGTCAGAGCCATCTACATTATCGCGTGGTTTTAGAACTAATAGACTATTTGTAGTAACCACAACACTGAACAATATCTTATAGATGTATATAAAGTCTATTTTGGGTTAATAGCGCAAGTTTTGAGGTATATCTCTCTTGTATAGTTTTGTTTTTTTTGAGAGCGAAAAGCCAACCAGTTACTTTTTCGCCTTAGGAGAGGCGAGAGATACTGCCGAACTCTTACTGACTGAAAACCTCCGGTAACCCGGTTAGGTTGTCCGCAGCTCCGGGTAATGTAAAGTATATGTTTGAAATTACATAAATTTACATAACATCACGCCTTTTATCCCCGCAGGGGTAGGCAGAGGTGTACATTATAACACTGTATAATGTCATACACCCACTTTCACTATTTATATTATGAGTCCCATATAATAGTGGGTGAGCCTATTGCCATATATCGGGCACATTTCCAAACTCCGTGCTACTACTGAAAATTTTTAAGAAATCCAGTAATACTTTGCCCGACCCGGGAATCGAACACGAGACCCCATGCCTGGCAGTCGCACTTGCGACCACTCGGCAAACGAGGCAGAGTTTGAAATTGTGTCCATTGCATGGCAAAGACTCATCCCCAATTACATAATATTCCAAAATATGAGTGGCGCAATATCAATGAACGGCCTACAACTAAAATCAAACTTAATAAAACCATCAACGGATTTATAAAAACACCGCTCAAATATTCCAAAATCGATAGCATCATTACTTAAATTCCCCGTCAATGCACTCTCAACCTAATTGACAGCATTATACATTATAAAGCTAGGCGCACACGTTACGGCTCGTTAGTAACAGTCGACTACAGCGCACTAAGCCTGCTGCCTGACGATACTCGATAATCTCTGGGTAATAAATAACTGATTCGATGTATAATACATATTATAACATGATTTATATAACGTACTAGAGCTAACAGCAAAATTTACTGAGCTCATAGTACCTAGGTAAATGTACCTAGCTTGCGTCATATTAATATTGTGAAACATTAGGTGTTCCTTAGGGTTATTGTGTAGGTTAAAGCGAACGTGTTAAAATCAAAAGTGCTTTTGATACGCAAATTTTGTACGATGTTGATGAATTTAAGACTGGAATGTGCCATATTTATTTAACTCCATATTTAAGTGTGGGAGAGCCATGCTTCGGCACGAATGGGCTGGCTCTACCGGTGTGATACCACGGCCTCACAAAAAACCGACGTAAAACAACGTTTCGTCGTCTGAGTGGGAGGTCACCGGAGGCCCAATTACTTACCCCCTTCTCCAATCTCCACAATCCCTGAATCCCCAACAATCCTCAAATTCCTAATCCCCAAAAGGCTGCACCGCGTTTTTACGGACCGTTTTCTGTAAAGCCGAAGTATCACTCCGGTTGACCGGGCCCATTCGTACTGAAGCATGGCTGTCCCACACTTACACGGTACTGAAAACAGGCTTGAATTTTACTTCATTAATGTAATAATCTTAAAATTTGTGTCTGTTTCTAAAAGCCATGATGAGAGAGGAAATTCAAGTGCTAAACTTAATTTCAGTAACTTAGGCATCAACGAAAAGACAGCACAGATAATCCATCTACACTAATTTGGAAGT